GGCCCAACATTTTATAATTATTCACTTTATTGAACAAAGGTTTTCTGAGTACCCGCTCAAATATGCTAATATTGTAGTGATTTTTGGGTACAGGGAAGGAAGCCACGCACATGAATGGAAGAGGGAACAGATTTAAGATAGAACCGCAAAAGCCTAGAGAGAAAAGAGCAGCTACTCTCGTGAGACTTACTTCAATAGATTAAAGTACGTTAACCTTTGTTGCACAGTGTACGTGTTGTAGAGCGTGGTTTTACAACAACTGAGATGCAGCAGGAGTCGGGACAAAAGGTGACTAGAAAGCTAGGAGAAGCCGCTGTTGGATTTGAATCCGGGTCCTGTGGAGCTTCTCCTCCAGGATCTATTGATGAGTCAAGTCTAAATGAAGATAAAGTTTTGAAAACATCACAGGAATAGGTGTAGATTTTGAAGAGAAATTATGAAATCCAAAAGATAAATAGTAAACATTTATCTACTGGGCTGTTTGCATCACATTTTAGCTGTTTCCCATTAAACAGGGCTTGAAAATCTTTATTAAAGGAAAACATTTTTGTGTTATACGTGGATGATGCAAGCTTATATAGTATTTCAAACCATGTTTCTCTGCATCTAGCTAACTCTGATGCAGATTTGGGGAATAAAAACTAGCACTGTTGAATTTTACGTATTCAAACTGAGCCCAGATACCAGCTGTTTAAACAGCACCCAAACGGCCAAACTTGTCATTAATATTTGGTGGTGCTGATTGATAGCTTTTTTGTGTTTTCCAATTCTTATCACAATCTGTAGACCTAAAGACTTGGACAAACATCATTTGGATATGCCGCTGCCGCTGCTGTTGTAAATGTTTTGATGTATTACAATTGTTCCTGTGCCGTAAAACTTACTATATATAACTTTAAACACTGATTCATAGATCTTTCCTCATGAAGAAGTAAGATTTGCCTAAGGATTCTCACCTTAAAAAAATTAAAACATCTACTGTAGAGCACAGGGAACTGTATTCAATTTCTTGTAATAACATATAATGGAAAGGACTCCGAAAAGAATATATATATATATACACGTATGTATATGTATAACTGAATCGCTTTGCTGTACACCTGAAGCTAACATTGTAAATCAACTACACTGCAATAAAAAAAAATTAAAACAATCAGGAGACTAGCAGCAGGTAGTCTGTACAGCTGTGAGAATTTTAGTTTACCGTTGTTTAAGTTTCTGCATCTTATTGACCAAAAATCTTCAGTTGTTAAAAGTCTCCTGATGAACGTATAAAATAAGCAAATTGAAATGTTGAGAGGAGGAAAGTAAGTAGGGGCAATTGAGCCACTGCTCACCTGCTTGATTTTACATACGTTCGAGAGGTGTCGGTGACCCTTGGAAGATGTGGCTGCAATGTGAAAACACAGTGGCTTCTTCCTGAGGGATTTTTTTCTTTCCTTTGTTTTCTTCTGTGACAGAGCGAGAGAAGAGGAGGCCAACCGCACATCCACCAGCCAGCGTGGTCCTTAGGAAGGGAGTTTGCTAGAGGGCGGTGTGTTTTAAATGGACCAGTGGGTTCACTTTCTGTGTTCTCTAGTGTTTTGCTTCGCTTTCCCCCCGCCCCCCAAAGCTTTATTCACACATGTGAAAACTCATAGGCATATTACACCTCTCGACTCTAGACATAGGTGAGCATTTAACTTGGTGGCCTGACTTTATGCCAGGTGGTGGTTCTCCAATATAAAAAGAAGGTAGAGATTCCCATCCTGAAGAGGAGATTGGAGTCCCACAGGCCAGGGAGGTGAGCTTGGAGCTGCGGTGGTGTCAGGGCTGGCGGCCGGCGGAATGGAGATGAGAACTTTCAGCCGCGGCGTGTGCTGCTGAACTGGTGACGCAGCAGATATCCCCAAAGGGCCACTCTGTTCTGTGCACCACGTGGGCTGTCAGGGATACAGAGAGAGATAATTCCTGCCCATCAGGGATTCATGGTTTAGTTGTGGGGCGGGGAGGGATCAGAGTAACTGCCGACTGCATCTCCTCAGTGTACAGCATGCTCACCCATCATCTCATTTCCTCCTGGCAACCACGCCTGCCTGGCACAGGACCCAGTATATCCTGGCCACCCAGTAAGGATTCATTGAAGGAATAAACCAAGTTGTGAACCGGATGATTATCTCCTTAAGTCTTATTCGATTAAGAGAATTTTTTTCCCCTCATGATTGCTTTTATTTTGAGTCTGTGCTGGTTAAGGGTTTAGAGAGGGTAAAGTGCAGGGCCACATTCTCTGTGACCAAGTTAGAATCCCCGAGTTTGCCATTGCTGATAGTATAAAACAAGGACTTGACTGGTCACAATGGCCCTGGCCAGCTGCTCCCTCCCGCCGGCCCTCCACTGTCTCTCAGTCTGCCGCTCCTGCTTTCCCTAAGGACCCCAGAACTCCACCTCAGGCCTTGGGGGTGTGGCCTGAGCATGGAGCAGACCCGCGGCTGTCTAGCAAGCTGAAGTCTCTGTGCTGAGTGTGGAACGAAGGCTGCGGGCACTAAGGGGGAGAGGACGGTGATTTAGAGAGCTGAGGGCCCTGCCCCATGGCTGGCTTCAGTCCTGGGGTCACTTCACTAGGCCAGTGAGGGCAGATGGGGGATC